ATCTGATCGAATTAAGAATGTGGTGCTCCGAGGTAAAGATATAATTAAATATAGCATATGTAAATATGATGTATTTAATTATATCCACAAATTATAAAGTTCAGAATTCTAAACTTTAAATTACCCTACAATAACTTTGTGAAAATAAACTTTATTATAGGAGGTTATTTTTAAAGTACAAACTGTCATTACTAGTTTTTGTTCTGTTGTCAGTTTGTTACAGAAACCAACCTGTAGAGTTGAATATTAAACATCTGAATCAGACAGAATAAAGCTGATTTAAAMTACGGTAGATAAATATGAYATAAGATGTGTTTGTAATAAATGTCACAGCCTGTGATTCTGTGCACCACACAAGGTGCCCTCTTCTTCCACTTGAGCACCTGCCCTCAAAAATGTCTGTGCACGCCACTGACAAAACAACGTCACTAACTTCCCTCCTCTTCATCACTCAGTGTTGGTCTGACACACAACCCCTCAGAGACACAAGTGGGAGGAGCTTGAAAGGTGACCAGAAGTGCAAAAGATCAAAGGCTGTCTGCATTAAAATATGACTCTGAGTTCAGAGTCTGTTTGAAGTATTTGTGGCTTTCAGGTGTCGATAACAACAGTCACCTTTTAAAAATGCAGCAGGTTTAACCTGCCAGGTGAAATCAGAAGGCTCCGCCTCCTCCTGCATCTCCAGCTCTGATGGAAACGTTTGGAGAGATCAGAATCTGTGAGCCATCATGGAGACAGGAGGTGTTCTGCTGCTGCTGCTGGCAGGAAGTTCAGCTCTCAGCTTTTATGGAGGCAGCATCAGTTTCCTGCCTCTGCAGAGGAGAACACAAGACACAGTCCAGGTAAAAGACTGATTAAAAACAATTAATTATAATTATAAATAATTATCTWTATGGAACTTTATCTAAAGAACAACAGGAATAAATTCTAAAACAATGTTAAAAACAAGTTTTATATTTCAGGAAAAAACATTTTAGCAACAAATAAATTTTCTTATGTAAGAAGAAACATGAAAACAGAAGAATGTTGAAGTGATTCTTGTTCCACAGCTGCTTATCATCTGTCACCGCACTGATGACAGCCTTCCTGCTGGAAGAAATGTTAGAATAGAATAGAATAGAATAGAATAGAATAGAATAGAATAGAATAGAATAGAATAGAATAGAATAGAAACAACCTTTATTGTCCCGTGGAGGGGTATTTCAGGTGTAACAGTGTTAAAACTGTAGATAAATAAAATTATAGCTGAAAGCTAAAACTGTATTTAAAATTAGCAAAACTGTGGATACAAGCAAAAATTAGAAAAACTAGTTAAAAGTTGCTAAATTTTAGCTAAGGGTTAAAGGTAGTATGACAGTAGCTAAAAATAGAAAAACTAAGTAAAAGTAGCTAAACTGTTGCTAAAAACTAAAAGTAGAAAAACTGTAGTTAAATTTAGTAAAACTAGATGCATGCTAAAATTAGAAAACTAGTTAAAAGTAGTAAAATTGTATTTAAAAGCTAAAGGTAGCCAGACTGTAGCTAAAAGCTAAAACTGTAGCAAATTTGCTGCTAAAAGCTTACGGTAGCAAGACTGTAGCTAAAGGTAGAAAAACTTTAGCTAAAACCTAGAAAAGGCAAAGCTGTAAATAAAATCTGAATCCAAAACATTGCTAAAGGTACAACGAGCTAAGAAGATGCTAAAAGCTAACGTTATTAGCTAAAATGTGTAAAGTCTGGATCAGTGGAGGGAAAGTTCAGACTCCTCTCTCTCTCTCTCTCTCTCTCTCTCTCTGTAGGTGTCGTTCTACCACAGACAGAACGGCAGGAACAGCTGTCAGAACCAGAACCAGTCTACCTTTACCTGTGAAGAGGGGGCGTGTCCCATCATGGAGCGGTCCGATGCTCTGCAGACGGACCAGGACCAGTCGGGTCAGGGCCGGTGGTGCCAAACGGAAGAATTCACAACGACCACAGTTCAGAGCAACAGAACCAGACTAACCCTGAGGTACGCTGACATGTTGGGTGGTAGTAGCTGAGAGTCATCCTCAGCTGGGACTTCCTGCAGGATCCATGAACACCTGCTGCCAAGATCAAACAATAAAATAACTTTATTAAGACAAAAAGCTTAGAATAAACAGGAGACACAAGGAAACACCGGAGACACAAGGAAACACAGGAGACCCAGACTGTGGCTCAGAAACATCAATGCACCTGTCATGAGACCAGGAACAGGTGGGAACCACCTGATCAGACTGACACCTGCTGAACCACCTGATCTGACTGATACCTGAACCACCTGATCAGACTGACACCTGCTGAACCACCTGATCAGACTGACACCTGAACCACCTGATCAGACTGACACCTGAACCACCTGATCAGACTGACACCTGAACCACCTGATCAGACTGACACCTGAACCACCTGATCAGACTG